CCGGGAGGAGTTGATACAGAGGATGCAAAACTCGAGAACTACACTGATGGCTTATTTTGAGTACAATACAGAGCACGAGGATGGTACCCGGTATCTCTATCAAGATTTCCCGGTGTACTTTACCTATGACGCTAAATCGCGGAAGTGGGCATCCAGGAAGAAAGGTGTGGCTATTGGACGTATGTGGCATTGCAATCCTATGATGGGGGAGAAATACTATATGCGTCTACTGTTAACCGTTATCCCTGGCGCAAAATCTTTTGATTATCTGAAAACTGTCAATAATGTGCTGTATCCTACATTCAAGGCTGCATGCATTGCCCTTGGCTTATTGGACGATGATCAAGAGTGGGTGCAGTGCTTTACCGAAGCAAGCATATTCTCGAGCGGATATTCCCTCCGTACACTCTTCACCACTGCCTTGCTATTTGGCAACGTGACTGAACCTCTGCAATTATGGGATAAATTCAAGTCAAATATCTGCGATGACTTGCCCCGAGCTATGGAAAGAAACACAGGTCTCATTATCCCCCCTGAGCTTCCGGATGCCCATCTGGACTATGGTCTCTACCTGATATCACAGATTCTTGCCGACTCCAACAGAACGCTTAACGACTTTGGGTTGCCCCTCTATATAGTGGATTGGAACCGAACAGGTGGGAACGAGATGATTGCATCAGAACTACGATATGATATGGTTGCGGAAGCGGCAAGTCTACAGTTGAGGATCGCACAACTCAATTCAGATCAGTTGGAATGCTTTAATACTATTACACACAGTATTGAAGAAGCTGCGTCCGCCCTATTCTTCATTCAAGGGCCCGCAGGTACTGGAAAAACGTTCCTATACAACGTTATCTGTAACCATTTCCGCTCCCAGGGTAAGATTGTGCTTTGTGTTGCCTCTTCTGGCATTGCGGCACAGTTGCTCCCTGGAGGCAGAACATCCCATTCCAGATTCAAAATTCCGATTGCTATCCATGAGGGCTCAACATGTGACATCAAACGGGGCAGCCTGTTGGCCGGTTTAATTCAAAAGACCGCGCTGATCATCTGGGACGAGGTACCTATGCAGAACAAGTATTGCTTTGAAGCGGTCAGCCGGACCCTGAATGATATATGTAGTGTGGGGGATGATTGCCTGTTCGGAAATATTCCGGTCGTACTCGGAGGGGATTTTGCACAAATTTTACCAGTTGTGCAACGCGGTAATAGGGCTCAGATAGTGCAGGCATGCCTACAACGGTCTTCTTTATGGCAGCACTTCAAGATATTGAGACTCAAGATCAATATGAGGGTCCGCAATGGGGTTGAGAATGAGGCGTTTGCGGCTTGGCTTGGGCAGATGAGCCATGATTCCCGATGGTATGGTAGAATAACTCTACCACCATACATCCAGAGCTGTAAGACAATTGAGGACCTTTGTATGCATGTATTCCCGCAGCATATAATTGAATCAGCCCCAACAAATTACACCGCATTCTCGAAGCGGGCGATTCTGGCGATGAGAAACGATACAGTCGCTGAGTTTAATGATAGAGTTCTACAGCAAATTCAAGGCGAAGTGCACACGTACTATTCGGTAGACACTGTTGACAGTGGTAATTCAGAAGAGAATGCAAATCTGCTACCTCCAGAATATCTGCAGGGTCTCAATCCGTCTGGCCTCCCACCGTCTATCATCAAACTAAAGGTGGGAGCACCAATAATTCTTCTACGCAATCTATTTCCAAAGCAAGGTCTTTGCAATGGAACACGAATGACGGTAACTAAGCTGGGTGTACGGTGCATTGAAGCCAAGATTCTGGGTGGTGAGTTTGATGGGGAGCCAAAGGTTATACCACGTATACAGCTTTCGTCCACTGAGGGAGATCTACCTTTCACATTAATGAGAAGGCAGTTGCCTATTCGGCTATGCTTTGCGATGACTGTCAATAAATCGCAGGGTCAATCACTGGATGTCGTTGGGGTTGACTTGAGGTCTGATCCCTTCACTCACGGGCAGCTCTATGTAGCGCTCTCGAGAGTCACAGATGTAGCTGGCTTGATGGTGCTGCAACGAGATGAGACGCCGCCGCAAACGGACAACATTGTATACCGTGAAGTGCTGCTGTAAAGAAGTAAGTCCCCTTAATCCATATTTTTATTGATACTGACTGTCGGTTAGGGTAGAAAGGACTTACGCTGGAGCCAGTTGGAGGACTTGGGGGTATATGGTTGAAGGTGGTAGAAGGTGGATTTCTGTGTGGATGGTATGTATATGCCGCAAGGTGACAGTTTGGTATATGACACTAACATTTATTATAGGTTTTCGGTAAGGAAGGGAAAGAGGGGTCGGTTATGGTATTGGATGTAGGATGGGGGGAATGCAAGAAGTTGGGGGATTGGGTATCGAATGGTAAGTATATATACCGATCATGTACCACCCGGAAGTGCTTACCAAATTATTAGCTAGAATGACTTATGGAAATGGTGGGGAGGATCCAGGCATGGAGGAAATAGGAGAGAAGGATAGAGTTGGATACGGGAAGGTGGGTGAAATTGCATAGTAGGTGGGAGGAAATGTGGAGGAAGCGGGAAGGAATTGAGCGGTGGACTGTATTTAGTTAGCAATTTGTATTTTCTTTAGCGTGTATGTTTCTTAGCGTTTATCTGTCTTATTCCCTGTCTTATCGTTGTTTTGTAGCATGGTTTCTTTGTAATAGAGTGATAAAAAGTTGTTAAAAAGATATGCGATTAGTAGAAAAAAACTGCATCGAGTTACCCCGGTTATTTACACCATTCCCCGACTATGATCGTGTGAATTTATTAATTTTGTCACAGACTGCCGGATGGAGTAAATAACCGGGGCATTACACTCTTGGATCGTTGACTGTTCCCAGCCTCCCCAAGCGGACAACCCTCTTCCCTATAAGAGACATAAATGCCAACGTTATAGGGTTATCAATGACACATCCTCTAACTAACGTCTGAATTGCACAGCTCGCGCTCCCGCCATGAGTTGAACCCATAGCATTGAGGACATGTATCAGATATTTACCACTAAGCTAAGTACCTTTATTGCACCAGCAACTCTTTTGGACCCTAAATACCTTGCAAGTATTATTTTTTATTTTTTAATTTTTTTATTTTTTATTATTATTTTTTTTTTTTATATCTAATTTAATATAATATTTCCGCTGCCTAAATTGTGTACACAACTCGCGGTCGCGAGGTGGCCCACCCCTAGTCTACTATGTACTGGAATATCATCATCCGTTGATTGTTGCAGTCTGATTGGTTGACAGCGACAGGGGTGTTTTGTAAGCACGACACATCAAATTCCGTTCCTTTGGTGCGGTTACCCTGCCCAATTCTGTGCGGTTACCCTGCCTGATTTGGTGCGGTTACCCTGCCTGATTTGGTGCGGTTACCCTGCCTGATTTGCTGCAGTTACCCTGCTTGCAGGTAGCGGGTGTGAATTTGAGGTGTCGCGCCCGTTGCTATGCACCTTTGAGGTACGGTGCGGGTTCTGAGTGTGGGTTGCGGAGTTGCGGAAATGCACCAAAAAAAACCCGTTTTCGACCCTGAAAATAACCCCCGGTGCGTCAAGTGGCCGGAACCCCCCTATTTTGCACTGGTGGGTCTATGGGAGCTGGGTGATAACACACACAACTCTCTGGGACCGGACTCTTTGCAAAAAAATCTACTGAATAAAATCTACTGAATAAATTTCTATCACCACTCTAACAATCAATATATTTGATTAAATCATCTGCTCTCTAGCAAAACAAATTCTATAAAATACAGTTCCATAGTGTTCTCACCCAGCTCTCTCGACAACATGTCGACGATTAAATGCACAAACTGCAAATGTTATAAGGATATCGTGGATTATGATCTCGATAGGAATGGCCGGCACCGTAAATCATGTCGACCATACTTAGTGAGTTTACAAATTACTCAATTATTTGAGTTCTACTGATTCTGATCCTTAATAAGGCTCGCTTGCGTGAATATACACGTCGTCGAGCGGAAGCCAGACGGCGACAAATTGTGAACAATGAAGAGGTGAGTTGGCGAATCGTTTTGAATATCATTACTCGGGGCTATTATTCTAACAGATACTATGGCAGCCATCTCGGCTGTCAATTCAAGCTGCGGTACCATTAGCATTCCAATCGTCACGGGCCCGTTGGATGTCATTGGAGTTGGGCAGAATGACAGTGATTTGTCCTTCATGTCAAGCTTTAAATTGGCTAAGCGAGCGCGTGCAAGGGAGTTCAATCACGTTACCGCGGTTTGAAAATTGTTGCAAGAAAGGCGATATTCAGTTGCCGGCATTGGAACAAGCCCCCGAGTACTTACGGTACCTACTAGAATCTACTGATACAATTGCTAGACAGTTCCGTAGCCGCATTAGGGAGTACACCTCCGCTTTGACCTTTACTTCCGTTAAATATACCTCAGATGAACGCATCGACCGTCAAGCTGGGGGGGTTACATGCTTCCAAATCCATGGCGAGCTATACCACCTCCAGGGGCCCCTGACTGCAGCAGCAAACGATACGCCCGCTTTTGCTCAGTTATATTTCTATGACCCACTCTACGCTGCACAAATGATGCAGCAGGGACATCCAACTCTAGATATTGCGGTTTTGGAACGGTTGACACAAGAGATACACACAGTCAATCCATTTATTCCATTATACAAGACAGCGAAGGAAAGATTGGAAGCTGCGTCCTCACAAGATGGGGATGTACGTGTCTTACTCAATCCGCAATTGCGGTTGATAGTGGAGAGTGGAGCGGACAAACGGAGACACAATTTGCCTACAAGCAATGAAGTCGCTGCGATTATCCCGGATGAATATGGTGAAGCAGGATTCCGGGATATTGTCTTAGCACATAGAAATCCAGATGCCAATAGGCAGTTCAGTATAATTGGTCCTAATCATGCCGCTTATATACCCTTGCATTATGTTCTGCTATTTCCAAATGGTGAGAGGGGTTGGCATTAGGGCCTACGGCTGCGGGATGAGTTGAACCGATGGAAGAATTTAAGGTTACAGCAACGCGAATTTTACAGGTAAGTCACAAACACCAATGGCTAAAAGACTTTTTGATATGGCTAACTTTTTGATTACTATATATGGTTTGCAGGTACCGACTGCATACCAGGACGACTGAACCCATGACTTTGTTCCTCTCGCAACGCCTATTTCAGCAGTATTTGGTAGATGCTTGGGCTGTTTGTGATCAGAATAAGTTGAATTGGCTTCGACTGAATCAGGCAAATATTCGGGCTGATCTGTATAATGGGTTGGCGGATAATATTCGGCAAGAGGACTTCAACCCGGAGCAAACCGGGAAGCGTATCATTCTACCACGAAGCTATACAGGAGGCGACCGATACATGCTGCAGTTGTTCCAGGATTCCATGGCTATAGTCCGTCATTTTGGGTGTCCCTCACTATTTGCTACCTTTACCGCGAATCCAAAGTGGGAAGAGATTACTGCGGAGTTACTACCGGGGCAAACTGCTATTGATAGGCCAGATTTAGTTGCAAGGGTGTTCCATCTCAAGCAACAACAACTCCTCCAGGAAATAAAGCGCAAACATATCTTTGGGCGCTATCTTGGGTCTGTATGTACCATTGAGTACCAGAAGAGAGGGCTGCCATACATGCATCTACTGATATTCCTTCATCCGGATGATCGCTTTTTGATAGCAGAGAGGATCGAGGAAATTGTGTGTGCAGAATTACCGGACCCCGCGACTGATCCTACGGGGGAACTAAATGCAATCATTAAAAGTTGCATGGTACACGGTCCATGTGGAGAGGCCAATATGCGATCGCCCTGCATGGCTTCAAAGGAGAACGGGGGACCAACTACATGTTCTAAACAGTACCCTAAGGCCTATCAATCAGAGACAGTTGTACAGGGGGATGGCTATCCACTGTATAGAAGACGTAATGATGGCAGAACTTTTTCCGTGGCAGTAAGGGGCTCAGGGTTTAATCAAGAGTATCGGATGGACAACAGATGGGTGGTTCCATATAATCCTTATCTATCTTTACGGTATAAAGCTCATATCAATGTCGAGATCTGTGGTTCTATCCACGCGATAAAATATATACACAAATATATATATAAGGGTTCAAATCGAACAACACTTCAGGTGGGGAGTGACTCGGATGAAATTACTAGATACCTCCAAGGACGTTATATAGGACCCACTGAGGCTGTATGGCATTTGTTCTAATACGGGATGCATGAAGAATACCCGTCAGTCATTCACTTGGCTGTTCACTTGCCTGGCGAGCAACCGGTATACTATGGGGATAACTCTAACCAGGAGGAGTTGGTACAGAGGATGCAAAACTCGAGAACTACACTGATGGCTTACTTTGAGTACAATACAGAGCACGAGGATGGTACCCAGTATCTCTATCAAGATTTCCCGGTGTACTTTACCTATGACGCTAAATCGCGGAAGTGGGCATCCAGGAAGAAAGGTGTGGCTATTGGACGTATTTGGCATTGCAATCCTATGATGGGGGAGAAATACTATATGCGTCTACTGTTAACCGTGATCCCTGGCGCAAGATCTTTTGATCATCTGAAAACTGTCAATCATGTGCTGTTTCCTACATTCAAGGCTGCATGCATTGCCCTTGGCTTATTGGACGATGATCAAGAGTGGGTGCAGTGCTTTACTGAAGCGAGCTTATTCTCGAGCGGATATTCCCTCCATACACTCTTCACTACTGCCTTACTATTTGGCAACGTGACTGAACCTTTACAATTATGGGATAGATTCAAGTCAAATATCTGCGATGACTTGCCCCGAGCTATGGAAAGAAACACAGGTCTCATTATCCCCCCTGAGCTTCCGGATGCCCACCTGGACTATGGCCTTCTCAAGGGGGCGAGTAACGAGTATTCTGCAGGGTACAAAGGGTGTAGTAGGGCCGGTGTAGGAACTCGCAATAGGGGTCCTAAGGGGCTCTGGCGTTGGTAAGGGTCAACGGAACAAGGGGAAGCGAGGCGGTGGTCTTCTTGAGTAAAAGAAGAGAAAGATAATATTGTATAGTAATGGACAGCGTAGATACAGAAGACGTTGCGTAAGGAAAGAAAGAAAGAGAAAAAAAACGAAAAATAAGAACGAACCCCCCTAATATACCCAAAGAAATCCCAGCAATAACAAATCCCAAGTGACTCATACATTAGCGATCAACAGAACCCGGTAGAACCCAATAGAACCTTTCTGACTAATCCAACTCCTCGTAACCCAGTACATTCCCTAATCGATCCATGAAAGGCCTCTACCTGATATCACAGATTCTTGCCGACTCCAACAGAACGCTTAACGACTTTGGATTGCCCCTCTATACAGTGGATTGGAACCGAACAGGTGGGAACGAGATGATTGCATCAGAGCTACGATATGATGTGGTTGTGGAAGCGACAAGTCTACAGTTGAGGATCTCACAACTCAATTCAGATCAGTTGGAATGCTTTAATACTATTACAAACAGTATTGAAGAAGCTGCGTCAGCCCTATTCTTCATTCAAGGACCCACAGGTACTGGAAAAACGTTCCTATACAACGTCATCTGTAACCATTTCCGCTCCCAGGGTAAGATTGTGCTTTGTGTTGCCTCTTCTGGCATTGCGGCACAGTTGCTCCCTGGAGGCAGAACATCTCATTCCAGATTCAAAATTCCGATTGCTATCCATGAGGGCTCAACATGTAACATCAAACGGGGCAGCCTGTTGGCCGGTTTAATTCAAAAGACCGCGCTAATCACCTGGGATGAGGTACCTATGCAGAATAAGTATTGCTTTGAAGCGGTTAGCCGGACCCTGAATGATATATGTAGTGTGGGTGATGATTGCCTGTTTGGAAATATTCCGGTCGTACTCGGAGGGGATTTTGCACAGATTTTACCAGTTGTGCAACGCAGTAATAGGGCTCAGATAGTGCAGGCATGCCTACAACGGTCTTCTTTATGGCAGCACTTCAAGATATTAAGACTCAAGATCAACATGAGGGTCCGCAATGGCGTTGAGAATGAGGCGTTTGCAGCTTAGCTTGGGCAGATGAGCCATGATTCCCGATGGTATGGTAGAATATCTCTGCCACCATACATCCAGAGCTGTAAGACAATTGAGGACCTTTGTATGCATGTATTCCCGCAGCATATAATTGAATCTGCCCCAACAAATTACACCGCATTCTCGAAGCGGGCGATACTGGCGATGAGAAACGATACAGTCGCTGAGTTCAATGATAGGGTTCTACAGCAAATTCAAGGCGAGGTGCACATGTACTATTCGGTAGATACTGTTGACAGCGGGAATTCAGAAGAGAATGCAAACCTGCTACCTCCAGAATATCTGCAGGGTCTCAATCCGTCTGGCCTCCCACCGTCTATCATCAAACTAAAGGTGGGAGCACCAATAATTCTTCTACGCAATCTATTTCCAAAGCAAGGTCTCTGCAATGGAACACGAATGACGGTAACTAAACTGGATGTACGGTGTATCGAAGCCAAGATTCTGGGTGGTGAGTTTGATGGGGAGCCAAAGGTTATACCACGTATACAGCTTTCATCCACTGAGGGAGATCTACCTTTCACATTAATGAGAAGGCAGTTGCCTATTCGGCTATGCTTTGCGATGACCGTCAATAAATCGCAGGGTCAATCACTGGATATTGTTGGGGTTGACTTGAGGTCTGATCCCTTCACTCACGGGCAGCTCTATGTAGCGCTCTCGAGAGTCACAGATGTAGCTGGCTTGATGGTGCTGCAACGAGATGAGACACCGCCGCAAACGGACAACATTGTATACCGTGAAGTGCTGCTGTAAAGAAGTAAGTCCCCTTAATCCTTATTTTTATTGATACTGACTGTCGGTTAGGATATAAAGGATTTACGCTGGAGCCGGTTGGAGGACTCGGGGGTATATGATTGGAGGAGGTAGACGGTGGATTTCTGAATGGATGGTATGTATATGCTGCGAGCTGACAGATTGGTATATGACACTAACACTTATTATAGATTCTTGGTAAGGGAAGGGAAGGGGGGTCGGTTACGGTATTGGTTGTGGGATGGGGAAATGGAAGAAGCCGGAGGACTGGGTATCGAATGGTAAGTATATATCTCAATAACGTACTTCATGGAACTGCTAACCAAACGCATAGGTAGAACAAATTCGGGAAGTGGTGGAAAGGATGAGGGCATGGAGTAAATAGAATAGAAGGATGGAGGACTTGGAGGTGGGAGATAGAGGTGAAGGAAACGGTAGGATACTAGGAAAGTGGAGGAAATGGGATAGCAAGGGGGGGAAACGGGATAGAAAAGTGTAGGAAACGGGTAGGAATCGGAGTTACATTTAGAGCGGTGGACTGTATTTACTTAGCAATCTGTATTTCCTTTAGCGTGTATGTTTTCTTGCATTTACCTGTCTTATTGTTTTGTTTCTTGAGTGCTTTCTTTGTAATTGAAATAAATAAAGCTGTTAGAAAAATATAGAATTTGTAGAAAAAAACTGCATCGAGTTACCCCGGTTATTTACCCCATTCCCCGACTATGATCGTGTGATTTCATTAATTTTGTCACAGACTGCCGGATGGAGTAAATAACCGGGGCATTACACTCTTGGATCGTTGACTGTTCCCAGCCTCACCAAGCGGACAACCCTCTTCCCTATAGGAGGCATAAATACCAACGTCTATAGGGTTATCAATGACATATCCTCTAACTAACGTCTGAATTGCACAGCTCGCGCTACCGCCATGGATTGAACCCATAGCATTGAGGACATGTATCAGATATTTACCACTAAGCTAAGTACCTTTGTTGTACCAGCAACTTTTTTGGACCCTAAATACCTTGCAAGTATTAATTTTATTTTATTTAATTTTATTTATTTATTATTTATTTTATTTATTTATTTATTTATTTAATTTAATTTTTCCGCTGCCTAAATTGCGCACACAACTCGCGGTCGCGAGGTGGCCCACCCCTAGTCTGATATGTACTGTAAAAGCTCCATTTGCGAAACCTTTTGCTCTTACCCGGCTTGCTCCTCCCACCCACCAAAAGCTGGAGGGGGCCGAAGGCCCCGTTGAAGCTCCCCATGTAATTGTAGAGGGGGGACTTGATGTTCAACTCGCGGTCGCGAGGTGGAACCCCTAGTATCATTAGTACGACGACTACAAGCCTCGAGATATAGAAGCAAGAGTCGGGGTCTAAAATCCTAATATATCAATTGCGCGAGTGAGAATTCATGAATCTTCCGGGCATTGTGGTTGATAAGACAGGACGAACAGGCCTTCCCTCGTGAAGACCCCGCGCGCCATTCCATGCTTCCTATAAACCTCTCAAAGCACCCACCACAGCCCTCAAAGCAGTGGCCACTCTCCACCAAACACCCACACTCCCATTCACTGCCAATCCCAGATGCAACAACCATTAGGACTTATGCACTGACCGCCAATGCAATCGCACGGGACCAAAATCTACATCTCTTTTCGGGCACCAATGCACCTCTTACAGCTGCCACGAGAGCTACATGAGAACCAACTTTCACTCTTTTTGTATACCTGTGTTGGAGTGCCAGATGTCGGTTTTAAGGTTCAATATACACCCCTGCGGGAGTGAGGGCTTGAGAAGCATTGTTGAATGCTCTCCCAGGTATCGGGAATGCTCAGGGAGCATTTGTAAAGGTTTGCGAGGACCTTTGCGGATGTCCTGGTTCCGCGATATATGGAGGGCCCAGGGAGCCTCCGTAAAGGCTTGGGGAGACCTTTGTAAATTTCCTGGTTCCGTGATATATGGAAGGCTCGGGGAGCCCTCGTGAATGCTCTGGAAGGTATCGCGGTTGCCCAGGAAGGTATTGCGGTCGCTCCAAGAGGTGCGCGGTTGCTTAGGGTGGTATCCCGGTTGCTTGATAGCCCCGCCGAATAGAGAGGGCCCCACAAGCACTCGCGAGAGCTCTAGGAGCACGGTTGCTTTGCGGGCCCGACGGGGTGCGCTTTTGCGCCGGCGGGCAAGAAAAATTTCCGCCACATCTTCCGCCCCATCTTCCGCGCCCACCGCCACATCTTCCGCGCACACAGCCACATCTTCCGCGCCGCATGCTCTAAGATATATTATACGGAAAAGGTCTAAAATGAGACAGTCTCTACAAATTCGAAATGTCATAGTGCGATTGTTGAATCAATTGAATCTATTGGGCTAGCATCTATCATCGCGAGTTGAACTCAGCGCCGAAACAGGACTACTCTTACTTCTCAAATCGATAGATGGATCCGGAGTATGAACTTGTCGCCGATCGATCAATTCTCGACCGCATTCTTGAATTCTTCCATGTGGGGGTTGATAGGTGTATCATTTCGAGCGTACATGTAATATATAAAGGGGAAGTTTATTAGGAGCAATATCAAAGTGTGCCATCTTGGATCGTGTCATTTTGCAACATTTATTATTGTATAGCATGTCTACCAAAATCCGTGCCATTTTAGACCTCTTCCGTACATTGTAGCATATAATTCTATAGCTACGTAGCTAAAATTAATAATACATGTAGTACTGGTTGAAGTTATATTTCTGCCCTAGCCTGCCCCGCCGGCTCGCCCGCCTGCGCCCCTGTCTGCTCCCTAATATCCTCTTCTACCTGCTCGGCCGCCTCCCACGCGAATTATTGGGGGGGGGGGGGGGGGGGGGGGGGGGGTTAGCTCCAGAAGTTAACTGCTATAGACGAGCAAGGTCGGAGCCGCATATGTATACTCAACCGTTAGTACAACCCGTCTCGCATGGCAGGAAACATCTTGTGCTGCCAATGACATTACGCTTCCTTGATCATCTTTATCTTCAACCTTTACATAAATACGCCGGTTAAGGTCGACTGGGGGTGGCATGGCGGGCCGTGAACCGGATGTAATATATTCCGCTGCCCACTCAATTCAAGTGTGCTGTATGAACATATAATCGTCCCATAAGCTACATATTACGTCATAAATTATCACTCGAAGCATTAGCGCGCTTCCTTATGAGGGATAGCGTACAACATCTAGCTCCACCTCTCTTCTGCCCCGTACATACTCTTTTTCTAAGTCTCATATATAAAGACTTAGCTACCACTGTCGGCTTTTGTCCTTCCTCTTTCAGCACACTCACCCCCGCCCTTTCTGAGTTTCTGCGCCCCGGTTCTAAGAGTTTTCCATTTTCAACCTTTAAAGTAGGTATTTGTCGGGGCTTCAATATCTCGAGATCTCTTTCTTTTCTCTTTACTCATACACTTTGGGCTATTGGTAGTCTGTGTCGGTACCTCATATCTTTCTCCCTCCTATACAACCGCCTCTATGCGTCTATACACCCTAGAGTACGACCTGTAGATATGCCCCCCCCCCCTTTCTATAGCTAACCGCTTCCATTCCTCCATCTATCCGCAAACCCCCAACCCACTCTTTCGCGTGCACCATCTACCACCACCACGCTCCAATAGAACCACCGCACGTCCCACTCTTCAAATTGCAGGCTCGTTGAATCACGCATTTCAATCAAGTTCGTTCAGCAGACGAAGAAGAGAGACGGACTAGGAACTACTAGACGTATCGCATTGCCTATGCAGCAAATATCCCTCCGCCACCTACAATGGTACGGTGGCTCCCAGAAGGGCCCCTATGATGGTAGGAAGGAGTAGAAAAGACTAAAGCTGCGGTTGGAACCTATGCCTGGCAGAGATAGGACAGCATCGGCAAGTAGGTTAGGTAGGCAGGGACTAGAACCTAAGCCGGATCTTTTTTATGTTCTTCTCCTTCTCCTCTGTTACTTCCATTAGCTAGTGGGGCTGCAGTGTTTTCTATCGGAATAGACATAGACTGGACAACTCAATGCCCACCAGTATCGTCATTGCTATTCCTCCATGTCTTTCTTGTCCTGTGAATATGAACTCCCAGGTCATCGCCCGGTTCATACGCATTCTCTAGATGTACTCACTTGAGCACGAAGCTAGCTAGGCGGCAAGATATACTTTCGCCTTCCTTGTATACTCAATCAAAAGGTCTGTTGAAAAATAATAGGCTGAAGGTAGTGATGGGCACGAGCCGGCTCGAGCTCTCATGTTTATACCTTAAAATAGACCTTACAGTAAGTCGGCATATAGAGTTCATATTCAGGATGAATATTGGGGGAAAAATTCTGATATAAATCACCAAGCTCTGGCTTTCACGAACCATTACTAAGGTTTCGCTAGGCTCGAGCTTTTTGGATATGGGCTCGAGCTGGCTCGGGCTCGTCACTAAGAGAGCTCGACCTGTTCGAGCCTAAAGCTCGAGCTCAAAGCTCGAGCCAGCTCGGCTCGTGCCCATCACTAGCCGAAGGTATTCCATACTGACACGATCGATCTTAATTGGATTTACAGTAAATAATCCTGAATGTAGCCCCGCAGAGCTAGCAGCAGGCACGTTAGATAAGGTGGCCATAAAAATCAGTCTTCGGTCATTAGACTCCCTGCCACTCTTGTGGCTCCAGCTTTCTGATCATTGACACGGATGAGTCATGGAGAAACATAGTAGAGTTTACTACTCCCATATATCCCCTCACGTTTTCAAGAAAACGTACCAAGCCCAAGATGTGACGTAAACCCCTCGGCGCCCCCCGCCCCCCTTGCTTCTGCCCTCAATCATAAGATGTTCGACAGAGTTATGTTATCCTGAAGTATAACCACCTTTGATCTAGAATTTGGATATGCACCGTCAAATATAGGCGTTTGTGTGGATATAGATTGATACGAAGCTGGGGGGTAGATTTTTCGAGATAGCATACGAGGCAGAAAGAAGCAGAAAGGAATGGTGTATTCTAGAACAAAAACGGACATACGTACCTCGAACTAGACAAAAACTAGAATTCATTAAGGGCGGGGTTTTAGATTAGGTACTGTCTATTGGAACCTCCTAGCTAGATTACCTAAACAAAGATCATTTAAAGGTTTCCGAGGTGAAATATCTGGTTAGAGTTGGTGACAAAGATGGGTGAGACGGATGTGTTTCCGTACTGTGATGACTTTCACGTCGGTAGGATTGAATTTCATTCTATTGCCAAGTCGTCACAGAAACCCAAGCTTGGACATTCCTTTTTATACAGAGGTATTCTTGGTGGTCCAATAAGTAGACCTGGATACTAGCTGGGGTTTGTTCTATCGCTGGGTGCCGTAAGAGCTCAAGGTGATGTAGCCATAACGGGTGGGCGCGAGAAACAGGTAAATAATTTTCCTAGAGCCCCCCTCTAAGTCGTTGAATGGGAGCCACATAAACAATGCTTGCACATACTCAACGACTCACCACACAACCCGGTTTTCCTTTGCGGGACTTTTGTGCACAACAAGCCCGCCCCCTCTATTATCTTCACATAGCTCATAGCTCCTCATGGATACTACCCGCTACGAGCATATTCTCTCTGGAGATGTCACGATACCAATCGAAACACCTCAACTGGCCTCCATCACAGCTTCATTCTCACCACAACCCCACGGTCCCCGGAACAATAGTATTCCTATGTCCATTCCCCCCCCTGCTCCCCCTTCCTCCACCCCTCCCCTCCCCGCTCCTCCAAACCTCTGGTCACCTGCCAACTCCATTCGATATGCAACTGAGCCATCTCAGGGCTACGGGCGCCTCCGTCATCTAGACCGTATGAAGCGCGAACAACACGTCCTAGCAGCGCATGAGCCCCTGGTTATGAAATGGGATATGCAAGATCTCAGTAAGATTATCGAAGCTCTTGAATCAAGCAGCAAAGGTCCCCAGAAACAAAAGAAGCCGTGGCAAGACAAAAGAGACGAACCAGCTTCAAAATTCGATCCGAGAGCACCACATTTTGATGTGGTTTTGATTGATCTAACGAACGCATCAGAGAGCCTGTACGTCAAGTGTACAGAGAGTGACATTGACGACAGTAACCTAGAGGATCTAGGGGAAGCCGAGTTACCACAAAAAGAGGGAGATGGGGGGAACGAACCTCACGATAGCCCTGGGAATAATAATGCCAGGGGTGATAGAGTGAGAAAGGACATAAATAATCTATCAATGGAGAGCCTAGCAGGTCGTCCTGGGTGGTTGTTTCTATGGGTCGGTACCACGGAGAATATACCAGAAGGTAGACGCATATTAGGAAAATTCGGCTTCAGAAAGGTTGAGTGCATAGGATGGATGAAAACTACCAATGGAACTTGGGACAAGGTCATAATACCCGAGGGTGAATATCTTTCCTCTGAGCCTGCCGGAAATGGTGTTCTCCGCCGTGGGCTCGAATGGTGTTTAGTGGGTGTCAAGGGGACAGCAAAACGGCAAGTCCAGCTATTTGTTAACGTTTCCATGGATTTTGACTGACTTATTTATGTTATCTAGCACCTATGATTCACATCTCATCCACTGTAATGTCAGTACAGATGTACTAGTCTGTGACGGCTCATGTTCTCCAAAGTCCTCGTTGCTCTCGAGGATTATCGAGAATTTTTCCATGGGCCAACGTCGCCTTCATTTATTTGCTAAGCCTGGAGATGAGCGCTCTGGATGGGTATGCGTTGGCAAGGACTTCACAGAAACCACTTTCGATTGTAGGAAGTACATGAGGTTCTGGGAGGAAAAGGGAAAACACGGATGGTTAATGCCGTTTGACGCAGGTCTCTATTCCCGAAGGCTTTAGTAGTCAGCACATGGTTGATGATCGTTAACATAAATTCTAGAGATCGAATACTTTCGTCCAAAGACCCCTCCACTGCAAGTCCGAAAGCGTGAACGCACTGGTTTAGGCTTAAGCATCGCCACTAAAACTTCCCATAGTTCAATCAATAACAGAGGAAAGTGGGAAGATGATCCTCCAAAGTTCTTTCACAATGGCCAGAGAAAAAGACCAGTTATGCGTTATACGTCCCCGGAAGATGACCCCAAAAACCATAATAAATTTCTTGTCCCCATCAGTGGCAATAGGGGTGCGGATCCTGCTTCGGAATCCACACAAGTCCCGAACCAGTCCGTGCCGAAAATTCGACTCAATTACCAAAATTCACATGTCACTCAACTCAGAAGTGCTTCTGAGCCTAACCCAGGCACACAAGGGGTGCAATTTCATCCATCTCCCAGTGCTAGGAGCTTTAGTCCGAATTCTTTATCAAGGAAAGCTCAAGGGAGCACAAGCAATCCTACAATGACCGATATTCCGTCACAGAATACTAGTTCTGTAGCATCTTCAACTGGTGGAGACTATTATTTCTTGGCTAGCGGTCTAATCCCGAATAAGAAATCGGATATTCCATCGGATAATAAGGATTCTGCTCCAAAGCCATATCAGCAGTACCTCCTCCAGTCATCCAAACCGACTAAGCCCAGTCTGCCCAGTTCTCGTATTCCCTCAGTCGGTTCTCAACAAGGGAGTAGGAATATACCTAGTAACTCTACTAGTAACCCCCCTTCTCATCAGTCAATGTCAAGATCAGTGTCATTGCAGTACTCTTCTCCTTTGGACGTTCATCCCGCACACCCTCATCAATCCAGTCATTTCCTCGCGGAGCCTAGAGAAGCCAAACCATCCCATTCAGCCGTTACTGTCTCTCTTCCCATTCCAGCTTCTACTGCCGAGTATCGACACAATCCACCACCACCGGGCCTTTACGTAAGTCAATCTCTGGAGGATTCCACAAGCATTATACCCACTATTACTCAGAACATGAGACGTAGGTCTATGCCCGGAGTAGATTTTTTAAATGTTACTGGAAATATGCAACACAATGTATTTCAGAATGGCAGGCGGTCTATGAGTACTGGTGATTTTCCTGGTCAGATCCACGGTATTCAGGGTATCCAGGGTAGTCAGTACCCAAACCCCCAATATTTGCAAGTTCCTGGGCAAAACGCTCCCCCTATGATGGCTCACATGGGACCAATAAACCCCATTATCATGCCCCACCAGTCAGTTGTCTATCCTAGCTGTGGTCAGCACCACGGGTATCAGCAGCAGCAACAGCAGCAGCAGCAGCAGCAGCAGCAGCAACCAATACATGCGGCTCGACAGCATATACATATGCAGATACAACATCTACAGTTGCAGCAACAACATATCAGGATGCAGCAGCATCAAATTCAAATGCAGCAGCACCAGAATCACATACAGCAGCACCAGAATCACATACAACAGCACCAGAATCACATGCCGCAGCAGCAGCAGCAGCAGCAGATGGCCAATGCGTACCCGGCCCATCAGCTTCATCCCCAACAGACCCAGCAGTTACAACCACAGCCACAATTCGGACAGCATAATGCAAACGGATTCCAGTATTAGCGTTGACATAAGAACCTTTCGAGAATATTAGCATCAGACTGAAGCCCCAGGCCGTCAGAGCTCATCGACAGCATACCGATAGCCAGTATCACAAAACAGCTCATCTTTTAGACACTTCATTTTAACGGCAATATCCTTTTTCTTTTCCCTGGTCGGAGTGATAACGGAGAGTCCTTCCTGAGAGGGCCTGCTTGAAAGTCATTGTTTTTCTTATTCTTTAAGGCGGGTCTTAGCAAAGCCCCTTGGGATCTTTAATGTCTTTTCATCCTCTGGTGGCTTCCTAGTATAGAAGGAAATTACTGACCACGGCCTTTGTTATAAGCCTAGACTTTATTAGTATCTTAGTAATGACAACTATTATTGTTGTGATAGTAAAGAAACTTATATCTTGATCACTGCGAAAATGGCCTCATGTGCAATTGTCACTTCTAATACCCGAGTGATTCATAGTGCATCACTCGGTGATATGGTAAATGTGATGCAGTGATGTGAAATGATGTGATGTGATGTGATTCACGAAGGGCTTCCTGGAAATGTGAATAGAGCTAGAATGATGATTGAGATTTGAAGGATGGACCGTGTAGTGGTTGATGGATAAGTTTAACTAAGTCACTTGGCTTTCTTGATATTACGCGGCCACCCGCAATTTTGGCCACGAAGCCAAACCACCCGACGTCCTAGCGCCTTGTGTGATTTTTTTCAGGCCACGGTAGCCCACACAAACACGCCCAGCCCCACCCCTCGGAGATCAAGAGCATAGAGGCAGCAACAAGGCTGTTTGAATTCAAAATCTTCCTAGATAGTAAATATAGGTCGAAATGCTTCAAGAAAAGGCCTAGAGAGGTGATATTAATACCTCGGAATGGTGATAGTATTGGTTTGGAATACGATTTAGTAGTCTAGATTCACACTGCGACAACAACAATGACGGAAAGGAAATTGATGTGACGACAAGTAGACTTTACCTGTTTGGGAACCATTTGCCTCTAACAAAACCTAACCATCACTCCGCGAACAATTGACGTCCACAATTAAGTGAATGCTCGGGGTCTTCTATTTCCCTTTTCTGCCGCCAACTCATCATTGTTAGATCTTTACACAATACTGTTACAACCTTGATGGAACGAAGGGTTAATGTTATGGCACCCGTATAAATGCCAAAGAAGATAAAGATATTTCGCAAAATTCAGGTTGAAATTTATATAAATACAACCCAACCGTTCCCATTCCCCCCATTGCACCACGCTTCCACGCTCACTCGCACAGAACCCAAGTTTTTCCAGAAATGCAATACCAGTGAGAAATCAAAACCCGACCGTCATGCAAAGACATGAGCTAAAATAAAATATCTTTCCCTTTATCGTTCCCATCTCTTATCACAAAGAAAAAAAAAAGAAAAAATCTGAAAAAAAAAAAAGAGAAAAAACAGACAGCCCTCATCACATGAAAAAATACCCAACGTTAAAAAACCTAGTTACAATTTTTTCTTTTTCATACCAACCAAACCCATAATAGTGACAGGCAACGCGGAGCGTGTTAAAGGATGAGACGACTAAAAATTTAGACCGGGGCAGGAGCAGAAAACAGAAAAAATAAAGCGGGAATGTAACAGTGCACAGAGAGTGAATAAGAATAAGAAACCCCCTATCCTAGTGAAGAAACAGATGGTGGTTAATAAACACAGTAGTAAAGAGTTAAGTATTGGTGAGGAAGAATATTTCCGAAGGAAAATAATAAAGTATAATTGTAGAAGTGAATACCCAGACCGAAACACAAGACAACCACCCAAGCAAGAGAAAACCCCGAGAAAATAGAAACGCTACTAGAAAGTAATACCCTGCTGGAACAAAACAACGAACCCGAACACAAAGAAAAAAAGATAACACCTGTTCTCTATGGCCCCTGCTGTTGCTGCTGTTGCTGTTGCTGTTGCTGTTGCTGTTGCTGCTGCTGTTGCTGCTGCTGTTGCTGCTGCTGCTGCCCAGCTAACATTGCCTGTCCCAGCCTTGGGCTTTGCTGCACACTCATAGGACTCTGTACGCTTGTTGAACGCTGTTGCTGTGGTGTAGCACTTCTACTCGCAACATTTGCCCCCGGCCCGACAGGACCATTCGCACCAATCATTGGCCCAGTATTGGCCGCTGCAGCCCTTGCGGCCTGTTGCTGTTGTGCGCGTGCTAGAAGCTGTGAAGTAGGCGGAGATGATGCCATGTTCGGTATACCTTGCCCGTTTCCATTTGCTGACACGGTCATTGTTTGTCTGATTTGGTGATGATAGTTAGCGAGATGTTGTTGGGTGGCCTTAGCAATTTCCGATGGGGGGAGATGAGGGTGCTGATGCTGTACAAGAGCTGTCATTTCCGCCGCTGTTAGCTGAAATTGTCCTCTGCCTGCCAGTTACACAGCTGTCAGCTGCTTGGGGACAACGGGGATAGAGAAGGGAGTTTGACTAACCTGCCGGCGCTTGTTGTTGCTGGGGATTTAGTGGTTGCTGATTTTGCATTCTAGGAGAGCCTGCCTGGCCGTTGGCTGCGTTTGCCGGTCTTTGACCTCCTAATGCTGCCTGTTGCGCTTGCTGTAACATAGCTTTCACTGCGGCTGGATCTCGGCTTCCAACAGCACCAGCCGGAAATCCTTGCATCCCCGCTTGAGAATAAGACTGGCCCTGGGCTGCCTGCTGCTGCTGCTGCTGTTTCAGGTGAAGAGTCCGAAGTTGCGCCATTTGTTCGGCAGTCATAGGAGCCCGCATTTGCGGTTGGGGGTGTACACGAGCGCCCATTGGTATACCGTTCATACCTACAGGAACACCCCCATTCTGAATGACACCTGGTTGGGCTCTGGCACCTGCAGGAAGACCATTCGGCATAGCAGCTTGGGGAACCCTTTGTCCAGGAACAGGCACTCCATGTGCAAGAGCTTGTTGCTGTGCTGGGTGAAGTCTACCGGCCTGGGCGGGGAGTGGCTGTCCTTGTGGGTTCTAAATTTTTTATTAATATGATTGGAAAGTGTTACTCGTGTTGAGATACTTACTCTACCTGCTTGTTGCATCTGTAATTGAGCTGCATACAATGCCTTGTGTTCTAGTTGTTTCTGCTCGCGGTCGTATTTCAAGTTGCTGAAAAATGCCGGAGTCCTCTGGGTGGAGGTAGTGCTCGCAGGATCTTGTGCCTTCCTCATCGCAGCTATTTGCGCAGCTGCTGAAAGTTAATAATCAATGTCTAGGAAATGGTGGGGAAACAGATAGCGTACCTCTTCCACTCTGTTGTTTGCTGATACTTGTCTCTCTCTTCTTCGCCAACTTCCTCATGGCTTCAAAGATATTGAAGTACTTCGTTACCCGTCTCTTCTCAACTTTGACGGGCACTGTTCCCCGTCTCTTTGTTATTCCATTAGGGTTATTACCACCAACACTGCCTGGGTTAGCAACATATATGCCACCAACTCTTGCCGCAATATCGAGTCGTTGTTGAACAGGTTTGTAGTATGGACTTTTCATGAAATCCGGCGGCGCCGGTTCTAATCCAATCCACCTCTCAAAACACTCCCACGGACTCCTCCTTTCTGATCCCGAATGCCATGTCCCTTCTAGTTGCATGCAAGTTGACACAAGAGCCCAGTTGTGATGATAATCTCTTGCCAGTTGTTTAAGCATGTCATCTTCGGCAGAAGTCCATAAGCTTGGTAAACGAGATTCAAAGAATGCTTGTGGAGGCAGATCACTTGGCGGTCGGAATAAGTGAGCATTGTGTATTCTTGAGAGAAGAGCCTTCGAACCAGGGTTAAACAGCGCAACATCTGTCTGCTCTGGGGGCAATGGGACAGGCTTTCTTGTCTTGTCTTTTTCTCGCTTGCCGTGTTGTCCATACGGACCACCACTGGTAATATCGTCTTCGTCTGAGTCATCGGCGAATAGCTCATAGTTCTCATCATATTCGTAACGGCTTTTCTTCCGGGGAGGACCTTCTTCCTCTCGTTTCAACGACAACTTACCCGTGCAGTACTTGGTCACTGGAATGATAGGTGTCATCCACTCTTCGTCGACATGCTCAAATCTTCGACTCTCAACATTAGGTGGTTTCGGGGGTGCAAATAGTGGTAATTGTCCCAGCATGTCCTCTGCGGCCTTAGTTGGTGCAACCCCAAATATAGTCTCATCGGGCGAAAGGGCGAATAGTGCAGCTGGGGGCGGATCTTGAAGATACCCAAAAAAGTCTGGTATTCCCCATCCCACACCCCCACTCTGTTCGATTCCGTTCGGAAAATAATCTTCGCTTCCCTCGTCGTCCGGAGTCGCGCCCCCAACAACCAACTCCGGTGTAGGCTGGTTTAATTCTGAAAAGGACCCTGCACCTCCCATTTCCACATCGCCTCCACTAGCAAGCTTTTTCTTCTCGTCTCTTATCCCCTTCGGAACTACTCCCCATTTTCGTTTATCCACAACTAACTCTTGCTTATCTTCGCCTATTTCGTGCCACTCCGCACACCAATCAGCAACCTGCTTGGCGACCGCAATCTTCCACTTTCTCTCTTCCCTGAAATCTTCTCTCAACCACTTTGCTTCCTCAATGAGATAATCCCAATGGCATTTCCTCCTCTTAGGCTCCCTTGCTCTCGCAATCTGCCTCAAGCTAGAGTTGCCCGTATCTTGATTCTTCTGGATCATTTCCAAAATCCTCGCGGCCTGAGACTCAAAGTAATGCACTTGATGGTTGCTCGTGCTCACAGTCTTATTAGCTCTACTGATGAGTTCCTTTGCAGAGGTGTGAGCCGATTTCACGGTATACAGCACATCGAACATTTCCAGGTTTTTCTTCTTGTCCCCGTCTGTTGGTGGCGGGTCAGCAATGCCGTATCGAGTGAGAACATCAGTTTTACTGCCGGGTGGGAATTGCGCACTTCTTCCTCTTGCTGCTGCTGCTTGATCACGACGACGTGCAACGACTATCATGCCCTGATTTTCCTGATCCTCACGCAACCGCTGGGCCTCTGCTTCTGCGGCCGCCGCTGCATAGTGTGCGGATGAAATCACGACTTTGTGCAGCTTTGCCCGCGATTTCTCTCTTTGCTTATTTCGGCCTATTGTCTTTGATAGTTTCAGTCGTGGTGGAGAAACGGACTTAGTCGAGGCGGGTACTGAAGCTCGAGTCGCATCGGGAGTTGGAAGGTTGATATCCATAGCGGTTGTGTCAGTAACTGGAATAGGTTGAACAAAATTTGGTTTCTCTGCAGATTCAGCTGCCGACGCACTTGACTCTTCAGCCGTGGCTGGGATTGGTGATGGATCTAGGGGCATCTCCGGCGCCTTCTCTTCTGTAATTTCCATTCGCTCATCTTCCCCAGGTATCTCGTCTCTCTTCAAGGGCTCATCGTCCAGCTCATCATCACCTTCCGGTTCTGGCTCGGGACTAGGCTGGTAGGGAACCGAGATCGCTTCGGGATCATGATGCTCAGCTTCTCCCATTTCCACATCACCCTCCTCCTCTTCTTCCACCTCCTCCTCCTCTTCCTCCTCCTCCTCCTCCTCTTCCTCCTCCTCTTCCTCCTCCTCTTCTCCTTCTTTGTCCTCTTTGATTTCCGTTTCCACCCTCACCTCTACAGGTTCTGGTGTCTTTTCTTTAACCTCAATAGTTGCTTGTACTTCTGGTTCGGGGGAGGGTATATGAATTGGTACTTCCTTCTCTTGTGTTGAGAGCACCTCCTTGACAGTCTCCTCCACAGCCTCAACTATTTCCTCTCTATGCTGGGCTGGGGGCTCTGCTGGGGCCTTCCTTCGTACTGAAAGAGGCTCTGGTTCTCGACTGCCCACAAGCTGTACTTGGTCTTCGTCATCCTCCTCATCGTGCGCATGGGACATCACCAACTCTGGCGCAGCTTTGATCTCATTGTTAAATGAGGCGACCTTATTTGTGGTAACAGTAGATGGGACGATAGGTTCGCCATTTGCTAGTTGATGTTCTAACCTCAATTGCGCAGAAGGATCAGGGGACTGCTGACCAGCTAAGGAAACGGCAACGATAGACTCCATAGGCTTCGAAGTTATCGGAGTGGTTGGCTCTTTGTCCTTTACAGGTACTACTGGGGCTTCCTGTGTTAGTGGATTTGTAGCTTGCTGATCCTCCACTCCATCCGCATTAGGTAGAGAAGATATTTCCTTCTTTTCTTGCTCTTGCAGACCCCCCTCTTCTACCGGAATTTCTCGCGGCGGAATTGTCGGAAGTGTTGGTTCAGTATCCACTTCCGCCTCCACAACCTCTTCGGCCATCGAAACCGAAGGCAGAGCGGCATCCGGCCGGTCGCTACAGCATTCTGGTTCCTTCTCCACCACGACACCAGCTTTCTCATCCTCCTCTGCCTGTGATGACGAAACAGATGCAATTCTGTCACCACCATTCTCGGTAACTACTTCTCGAGTATCTTTCTTGTCTGTTCCGGCGCTTTGGCTTTCTAGGGCCATGTGGCTTGCATCTGGGCTTGTTGCAGAAGATAATGCAGCATTTCCCGGTGTTCCGAATCCATCCCCTCCATCTACAGACGAGGTGGGAGAAGATACCTCTGGGTGTGCCGATCCTTCTTTTTCTGGTGAGGCAAAAGCTATCGGGTAAGGTCGGTTGTGTTGTCCAGTTAACACGACAAGTGGAGCATGAGGTGGAAGCTGTTGTAGCTGAGATGGATGAGCAGGCAGACGAGCTTCCTCTCTGTGTTCAAATATCTTGGCTATGGGCCGAACGGGCGGGGTGACTGGTACTATAGATGATTCTTGAGAGCCAAGAACTTCTGTTTCAGTGGATTTCGGTAATGGTGACGCTTCCTTGAGTTTCTCAAGATCCCGAACAGTTTCGGCTGATGCGATGAGTGGTTTATCAGAAGGTGCGGTATCTTGCATGGTAACATCCTCCCCTGGCCGTTCTGTGAGCGCCTTTGGTATTGGCGGCGGACGAACACCGAAAGCTTCTTCCTTCTCATCAGGTACCTTAGTTGTAGTCTCTTGGATCACTGGGACACCTCCAAGATTGAATATTGGTGCTAAAGGTTCCGATCGAGAATCATCAACAGCTGGAGAAGGTTTGCTTGAGGAAGCTCTACTAGGGTGATCTTGGTCTAAAGGTTGTGCTGATTCATCTTCCATAGTCGAATCTCCATCTGTTCTATTCCCATTCGGTGCTGGTAGATCAACAGTTGGCTCATGTCGTACTGATTCGTCGTTAGGATCACGACGTTGCCTCTTCTCAACAGGTAACTCAGGCGAACTTGTAGACTTTGGTCGGGCTTTTGGCTGTTTAACAACTGTTGAAGGAAAGTGAATTGAAGTCTGCACTGTGGATTTTGGGGGCGTTGATGTTCCGGGGGATACGGATGGGTGCGACAGTCCACGAGTAGGAGTTGCCTTTGGAAGTCCACCAGGTTCGGGAAGGTACGAAGAATGTTGTGGTAAAGTAGACTCTTTAAATAACCTACCTCTGCATATAGTTAGCGAGGGAAGTGTGAGCTTTAAGAATTGATGCCTACTTCTCAATATCATTCTCTTCGAGGAAGCGCTTTTCGGCGTCCTCCATGTTTGCTGCGCCATAGTCCTCTACTGTTCCCCAAGCCGCCATAATATCGGCATTGGGGAATTCCTTTGAGCGCTCGACGTGACGACATACTGCGTAGAGCTCTTGTAGTTTTCGTTTCCTTGAGATTATAATAGATCTAAAAAATTTAATTTAATTAGCCATGTGCGCAACCATGTAATTGTACTCGGTAGTTGACAATTATAGTTGGCGGTTGACCCTCGAGTGTTGTCGTGTCGCGATAAATTGACTATTTTGATATTCAAAGTACGCGACGTGTCGTCGCAACGGTTACCGAGCCGGGGGGCGGCAACCAACGCACCCCCCGAAGCGAAGAAGAAAGCTCAAAGATACGAGCACAACGAAAGGGAAAATTAGAACTCACTTCCACTCGTCGCAAACAGCGTTGAGGGCATCTTTCCGCAGATTCTCGATGGTGATCTTCTCGACCATATCTCCTCCGCCCGGTCCTGTCGCATAGAAGATATATACAGAACACTCCTCTCGCTTAGGGCCGACTCTGCGGCTCAGTCAGCACTAGACATCGAAAAATGATAAAACTACGAGGGGGATAGGGTAAACAGAGCCGGAGAAAACGATTACCGTATATAGCAGCCTGTGTAGAGGGGTTGTTGTCGTGGATATGGGGACAGAGGTAGTTGAGGGGGATGAGGTGACGTTGGGGGAGAGGAAGGGTTAGGGTTTCTCTGGTCGCAGGTGTGGTGTGGGCTCTCTGTGGAGTTCTCTCTCTTCTGGCGGCGGAAGGTTGGGAGAGGTTGCGAGGGGACACCAACTTGGTTGGCTGGGCACGACGAGAGGAGGAACGTGAAGCAAAAAATTGGTTAGGCTGGGGTGGGGGCAACAGCAAGCAGCCTGCCGATTAGGGAACAGCGTGGCGGGATAAGCGTTATCACGTGAGAAAATCTTGGCATTTGGAAAATAATTCTCACGTTCCAACCGCGATAGTAAGAGGATTTAGGCGACCAAGAGCATTCACCACCAGCCCATACTCGAATTCGCCCCTTATCCCCATCGCAATGGCAAAAAGAAAGAGACAATCTACCGCCGCTGCTGCTGCTGCAGAGGCTACTCCGGAGAAGAGCGAGGTCCCAGTCAACTCAAATAAGTCAATTGCTGTGCCCACTACAAAACTTCCACTACTCCCAGCAGTCGGCAATCTCTCACTTTCAGACTCACCTGTTGGAGGAATCAATTTCCAGGTCATTACAGGCTCCTACGAGAAGACTCTCCATGGATTTGTCGTCACTATCCCCGAAACACCAGCTGCAGAGACCACCGAGACAGATACGAACTCAATCTCTCTTCCGGCGACATTTGCAGATTCGTTTCTCTTCACTGCTCACACGGCGCCCATAGAAACGCTCTCAATATCCCCTGTTGGAACTGGCTCTGGTTCTGGTAAACGAATTCTCGCTACATCTTCTGCTGACGAGCACATCCACCTCTACACCCTCAGCTCAATACTCTCACGCACTACCTCCTCTACTAAGAGGATTTTAAAACCCTCCTCAACCGCCACTGCTTCCAATCCCAAGAACAAGCACTTGGGAACTCTTACCCACCACCTCAATACCCCCACTGCCCTTGTCTTCACCCCCACCCGCTCAAAGCTCATCTCTGCCGGTCTCGATGGTCAGATCCACATCCTCCGCTGTCGCGACTGGGCACTCATGTCAACGCTGAAATGCCCTAAACCCAAAGCTAAACCTATAAATTACGCCAAAAACTACACAGACGGCTACGGACCAAGAATCGAGACCTTCAGCTCCGAGGGCGTGTATGGCGGTGGAGCCGGGGGTGTTAATGACGTCGCTCTACATCCCAGTCAAAAGATTCTGCTTTCGGTAGGGAAGGGCGAGAGGGGAGTTCGGATGTGGAATTTGATGACTGGTCGTAAAGCCGGTGTCTTGATGTTTGGCCGCGACGATGTACCTCATAAGTTTGGACGAGAGAGTACCAAGGTGGAATGGTCAAGCGACGGAAGCGAGTACGCCGTTGCGTTCGAGAGAGGTGTCGTTGTTTTTGGAGCGGACTCAAAGCCGAAGTGCCGTATAAGCGCAACTCCAGTCTCCAAGATCCACAAAATTCACTACATGAGGCTTCCGTCAACCCTTACCCGCCCTGGTGTCTCTACCGAGAATGACGAGGAAGAGGTCTTGGCAGTATCAACTGAAGATGGTCGTATCCTCTTTTACTCCACCGCACTCCCGAAACCTGCGTCGGAGGATGAGACTCCCGATATTGATTCCCCCACTCTTCTCGGAGTACTTGGAGGTAAATCAATCGGCATGGTTGGTCGTGTAAAAGACTTTGCTACAGTTAAGGTTTCTGGGAAACTATTCGTAATCACCGCGAGCTCAAGCGGTGTTGTCCGAGTATGGGAGCTTGATACCACTGAGGATAGGGAGATAAAGAAGATCCGCGTGGACGAGAAGGAGGTCACTGATCGACAGGTTGGCAAGTTGGTGGGGATCTATGAGACAGAAAGGAGAATAACGTGCCTGGGAGCTATGGAGATGGAGGTTGGCGAAGAGGTTGATGAGCCCGAGGAGGCTGTAGAAGAGGATAGTGATAGTGATACCGACGATGATGATGAAGAGGAGTAGACTTAGTTTAATTCTTGGGTGTTTGTGGATAAAAGTTTAGGAATAGCTTGGCTGTAACATATCATGTGATTGCTTTTAGTCGCGTTCGAAGTCATAAATTCTCACTCGGCACTTTCTCGATGTTCCCTACACATATTGCTTTTTCTCAAGTGCAGCTATCAACATCCCATAGTCTCGTTCCCAAGTTTTTTTGTATGATTGTGCACAGTCTAGGCACGAGACTACCCGTTACACTAGCGACTTAGTTCACCCCGTGTGCCTTACATACACCAGCCAAACACCTACTCCTCACCATTCCCTCGCCTGCACTACATATTCAGGTGGTCAGACACGAAGTCGCCCTGAAGAACGGAAATATCAGCTTCCATCCTCATCTTGTCATCTCTAGAGCGTAGTGCTCATCCTGTATGCTGACATAACACTACTCCCCAAAATGTGCCCAGGTACCTGGATCGCTATCGTATCCGGCCTCGAATCCAGATCTATCTGATCAGTCTCGCCAATATCTCCCTCGTATCGGACGGTACTTCTGGCTCCGGCAGTATGACTCTCTTACTCACCTTTCAACAGTGCTACAGTTAGTATACAGAGGTGGTGACCCAGGTTGCAGAGACGGTGTGCTGTTCATCCTTAAGGCTAACATATATCTGCCGTCGTCACGGATTAAAACTAGGGATCTGAGACTTCGGGTGCACGTGGGACCGACAGATCAGCCCTTGGGTAGGGCGATGGTCGCACTACTTGACATGTCCCAACATTTCTAAGGTGTCGATTTTCTACATGTATGCAGCGCCAGCGAGTGATCATCGTCAGTCTACGCAACCATATATCACAACCCTACCAATGTCACTGCTTGCAATTTGTGTTTGTTAAGGTTATAGAAGAAGTTGCCCTCTTCACGCATCAGCCGCCTTCACTAGGCCAACTGCCAGTGGAGTGCCCGTCCACAAGTCTAGTGTAGTGCCGAGAGGACTGGCCCAGACGATACAATGCCATCCACTCAAATCACCAAGATATGGTTTTTTTCCATCAGCCGATCTGTGACTCTATAGATTCATTGAAGACCTCAATACTACTCCAATATACGGCTATCGTCCGTACCATGGCATGGATCTTGGTGCAACTTACCAAGTAAACTAGCGGATAATCTTAGATATACAATCCACGAGAGCTTTTCCGCAGTATTCCGAATGTCACAAGCATATCGCTCTCACTAGGAGAGAAAAGAAATGCACTGCTTAGCCAAGTACAATACCTCCGAAGTACAATACCGGAGGTATCGACTTGAAAAGAGATTGAGACGAGAAGTCAATATTCTCCTGCCGGAAAATATGTTCTCTAAGAATGATATGCACACGATAAAAGGTTCCTTCGGTGTGGTTCTTACTTAGTTGGCCGGTCAATGGTGATCAAGAGTGTATCGTTTGCTTCTGCTTATGAGACGAAACAGTAATTCGCGGCACCGTAGCTAGGAGAGAATATAGTATTGCCAGTTTGTATTGCCGATATATTGCCCGAGGATTTTCTAATTCTTCCCCTTACTCGTACTTCCCATGGCCGCATACTCACTCACGCAAGGGCCGTTTTAGGGGCTAGAGATCAATTCTAATCACGGAATATCACTCGGCTGTGAAGCAATCGCACGTGAGCAAAAATTCGAAAAACGTTCTAACTACTTATCTTTAGGAGCGATCCATAAAAACCAGGAAACATTAAAGGCCCTAAAAAAAGCCCCCCATGGTTGAGCTCATTCATCTTTTGCTTGATAGTCATTGTAAAGTTGGGCGTTACACTAAACTGTCCGGCCTGAAACACGGCATAGAAACACCGAGTCAGTAAAACTTCGTGTATCCTAAAAGTATTCGTACGCCTTTATCCCCATCTCCGGTTTCTGCTATATGATGGTGACGCGACCTCCTGTTGATATATAAATTCTGCGGTTCGTTCTAAAATCAATACTTCTTATTGGCTACATTCTGGCTCTCCAACTCAACTTCAGCATCAATATCAGTACATTTTATTTCCTGTTCATCTCTTTGATTATATTTCAACGTCAGTGCAGGAAGTTCGGGCAAGCATTTCAAGTCACCTTTCATTCAAGATATCTCCAGATTCCACTTATGTTCAAACTGTTATGTTATCAAACTGAGCACTTTATTTCACCAACTTAAGACCCCGACTCCGACTGGTTGTATATGTGGTCCACGAGGAATTGACGCTAGAGGAGGTAGCTCAAGATACAGATGTCTAGCACACGAGCATGATCAATGAAACCTCCCATATCTACCTCAATCTGCTCTAGATTTATGTAGTGATATTAGTTTTCCCATATAGGGTACTATTCCTGAGGGAACACGAAGACCTATATAGCTATAGCTATGAGGATAATTGTAATTATCACTATATTAAATAAACCCACTTACATAAAGTGAGGTTTAATTCCAGCGGTTTCCAGCTCAAGGTATCATTTTCAGCATGCTCTATTAATAGTCCTTATTGGCCTCGAATGCCCCGGTTGGCCAAGCACCTTGAGACCTCATACTATAATGCTGTACGTAGTGTTCTCCTATTGTCTTAATTTTTAAGGCTTTTCTAAAGAACGGGCGAGCCCGTGGTCTAATAAAAATAACATACAGAGACTCCCATTCCTTTCCACCACCTTCTGATGGCACCTGGACTTACACGCCCCAACACATAATGTTTTAATGAGGAAATGCGCGCATATATAGCTAGCTACTAAGATTTGAGACAGAGACACTTCAAGGTATTTCTGCTCGCCTCGAGAGGCCTCTATAAGGGACTACATTCTAGTCGTGCCGTTGACCT